AGAGAGAGAGAGAGAGAGAGAGAGAGAGAGAGAGAGAGAGAGAGAGAGAGAGAGAGAGACACTACCTATGATGTTGTTCATTGAGTCATGTGGAGTCTGGATGCGAGTGGCAGTTGGGTGCTCTCATCCTGTCTTCTCCTCGGTCATATACTCTTTACGAGTCTTGGCATGTCTTTATGTTTTTAAACTTCGTCTTTTTTTTTTTCTTTTTTTTGCGCATGTCTTTATTGTTTGTGTCTCCACTCCAACTCTCCAGATGTCCTTTCTTTTTTCTTTGCGATGTGGACATCAAATGTAGCCCACATGGTGATCTGCCAACTCATCAAAGAAGTCAAAATTTCCTTCCATTCTCAATACTTGTCAAAGAAGATGAACAGAGTCTACAAAAAGGGGAAAATTCAAAATTCAAAATTTTCAAAAAGAAGAAGAAAAACAATCCACATGGCATTTTCCGGATCACCCGGATATCCGGAGGATCAGGAATCCAGATCATCTGGTTGGGTTCGCCGTGTCTCATCCCAGACATCCATCCTCCCCCCTCTACGCAATGATCAATATCGTTGAGGGGTCCCTTCCACAAAAACCGAAGGGTGTATGGTGTTGGTTTTCTTTTTTCCCCCTTTCTTTTCTTAAAAAAAAAAAAAAAAAAAAAAAAAAGACTTCATTAAATTGATGGTGGTAGGCAAGGAATCATAACGCCCTTTTTTTTTTTTCAACCACCCAGAATAGAGCGATAATTAATTGTAACACCCTGTTTTTTTTTTGTTTTTTTTTCTTTTGTTTAATTTTTTTTCTGTTTTTTGTTTTTCTTTTTCGTCCAGTTAACGAATAGAAGCAAAGATCCAGCTGGATCTTCAAAACCAGCTCACGTTTACTGCCAATAGATAACAGACGAGTGTCCTTTCTTTTCTTTTTTTTCCCGGTTATTACGGCGGTTAATGAATAGAAGCAAAGATCCAGCTTGATTGTATTGGCACACCACTCATCTGAGAGACCGCAGTGCGAAACGAACAGATGAGCGTGCAGCAACAACAAAAATATATACGATATCTATAGTGCAATGATGCAATCTGAAATGGAAAGTGGAAACGGACAGACGAGTGTGCTGATTTCAAAAGTTATTCAGATCAAATGAAGATTTTTCAAAATCTGAAATTAGAAAAAGACTCTTATGAGTCTTTAAAGAGTTATTATTGAAATTCCAAGGAAGAAAAAATGAGCGATAACGAACTCCAGAAACCAAGCAGCATCATTGTTGCATACCATATAGGTGCAGACCAGAACAAGAACCGACCTTTCAATACAAGGTATAAGATAGCACAGCGGAAGACTTAGATACCAATGATCCGAACAATCAATATTGTAATGCAGCCCCGAACATGCATCATCATCATCATGGTGCGAAGGGGTCTGGCGCTTCACACAAGAAGACTGCGCCAGCCCCAACCATACACAGACGAAGGAGGTGGGGTTAGACGAAGAAGAAGGGAAGATGG